ACCCACTTTTCTAAATCCACGCATACACCCGTTTGATTAAACCTTCGTTAATTCAATCTTTTACATCGTTCTCACCAAACCACATAATCAAGGAAAGCATTTCTCTTCAAAAATTAGATGGACATTTGTGTAACAACAGTGGAAAATTTCTGTGGGCTGCGTGTACTTAAACATTGGCTATATATGTTACAAAAGAGATAATTCAATTGTATCAGTACAGTAATAATGAATATGACTCACGTTTCAGTCTACCACTTTATTCAACGGGTTAGTTACAAAAATTATTGAATGTTGACCAGTGGATTTTAAATTATCTGTGGAGTAGCCACAAAGAATAATCCGACAATTGTTGGCGCTTAGCACGATTCAGCTCTACAACCGACCATTTTATGTACTACAGTCATTAAAGCTGCCTAATGTTTCATTATCAATTTAGTGTATCCTATTAATTTATGGAATACAACTCTAATTGATACCGGGTTATATAAGATATGTACTGCTCAAAACGATGGTAAACTCATGCTCCACGTAATCTAGCGGTCACTGGTACTCGCAAATTTTAGGGTTAGCGCAAACAGATGAGACCATTCAACCACGAACTCAATTAAGTAAATGAATATTAAATGTCAACCGAAGTCTAGTTAGTTTCTTCATCAATTTCACTATTATGCCAAGACACGCCTAAAACGGAAAAAGTGTCACCGTTGTTGCATTTGAGCAATGACTCATACTCGGAGTTAAAGTACTGATGTCGGTTTGTCGCTAATTCGAAAGAAAGGTGGTATTAGTTTTCGTGATGATTAATCGGTTTTCAAATTGTTGTTGCTAAATAGTTTATTTGTAAAGTAAGTACTTGTCTGATGATTAGTGTTTCTTAGTCTTATTAGTTTCCTTATAATACTTGAGGGTTGAACCAGCAGTTTACTCTGTGATTCGGATAAGCGAAAGGTGAGAAAAGCAGGCGACCAGTGTGCGCAGCACATGATAGGCTAGGCAAGCCTGACTATACAATAACTAGGCCTATCAGGTATAAGGAAGCAACAGAACGCCGAGTCAATCAAGGCTCGTATTTCAACAACTGGTAATGTCGCTGCGTTCTGCCCATGTGATTAGAGCTAAGGCGACGCCATCAGAGTGATGAAGGCACAAACAAAAGAGGTACCAATGTCAGACAAAGATTATTGAGCTCTTTGGCGGCCTTGTCACACATCGTTAATTTTATAAGGTTTCTAATGTTCAGCCGAGAACCACTAACATATCAAGACCTGAAAGCATTGCAGCATCATGAAATAAGTAAAACCTCGTTATTGAAGGTGTTAATGAATTTGAACCACATGCAATAAAGAGAATTCATGAGAAAGTCTTGTTATATCTTTCAAGTAACACTTTTGTACTATACCATTGTACATGAGGAAACTAAAACTAAAAATTCTTATGAAAGATAACTAAACTGTACGTTTTCACATAATTTCCAAGTAATCCCATCACAACTTGCACATTTCTAAAACGACTTTCTAATCTGTCAATAATTAATATATGTAATCTCTTCCTAGCATCTTGTCATCTTGACTGCCATCCAGTTACTTTTAATACCCCTGGAACCTGTGAGCTCAAGATGTTTGTGCAACATAGTCTCCGGTACAGTTTGCAGCTAGTATCGGCAAATGATAACTTCTGCCAACTTCGAAAACTATAGTTTCGTCAAAACTCCTACGTCAATTCACAAAATTCATTCCGCTTATAAATGTATACTTTGTCGGTGTGTAAAATTAACTATTCAATAATGTAACGTACATTTATTTCCTGTATAGGCAAGAACGGTGACATCTATTTCTAACACATTTTCTATTCAGCGGGTGTCCTATTTTTTCAATAGATAACTGTCATGGGATTAAAATGCCGTCTATCACTGACAGATGTAAAATAACAACAACACTGCGGAACTCAAAGCAAGATAAAAAATTAACATAGGAAATTGGACGATTTATGTGTCCCACACATTTGATACGTTGGTTGGCACTCAGCAGTTTGCTGCATAAATAAAACTAGAAGGCAGCTGGCTTTTTCTGAATTTTGTAAACATGGATTGGCTAGACGGGCAATTCATTGTTAAACAAGTGTTAGGAACAGCCAGCAGACCAGGTTCTTTTATTTGAGCTCAAAGTGAAACCGGATAGGCTATCTTGTTGTGGGGGGTCAAGGGATGTCCTCGCAGGTTCCTTGAATTCCGGGATAAAATTCGTTGTGCCTATTTTTTAGAAGAATCACATGAATCAATTTATTGGTAAACATATTCAAGCTTGATAAGAGTTGCCTGTATTCCGTAGTACTAATGCTTTTGTATTTCTCAAATAGAAGAAGAAAAGCAGGGCATTGATGATGTTTCGATTGGTTCCTCGCTACATGACTGGTCGAACTAGATTGATAAATAATGTATGAATCATGTAGATGATGAAGAAAAGCGCTAGTGTTTTCTTCGATTATACATTCTCAAGCCCGTTAAATACCATCGGTACGAACATCCTAAAACCCAGGTCTCACTGATGATCAATTTAGAAACGAGTGACGGGATTTATGGAGAACGAGCATAATCATACTGCGATTTCATGTCAGCAATATATGAAAAGTGTTCATTATTACATTGAGGATAAATTCCAATGGGTGAAACAAGCTGTTTTTCGATAATTCATCAACTGGCCATTTTGCGCTTATATATGCAGAAAATTCGAAATTGTTTGATCCAGTGTGAGATAGACCTTATGACCCAATGTACAAAACGACCTAACGTCGTTAGCATTTTGACTGAGCATTTTCTTGGTTACAATGCTCTTCCAGGTACCACGCTCGGATTCGTCTGTCGTTTGGTAACTGGCCATGGTAGAGATGCCTGGAGTAAACGCTTCTGATTGTATAGTGGGCCATCAAGGATTTTGATTGTGATTACTTCAATTGTGCATAGATAGATGAAGCGTACTGATTTCAAAGACAACGGTGGAATACGCTTTACAGTTCCAAAAGCTCGACTTACGCTCAGGTGGTAATTGGTTTCGAGAGGTGGTTCAATCAGGCACACTGTCCCATACTATGTAAAATAATACATGTTCGCTAATTCTTGCAAAACTATGAACTCAATAAAAATCTCAAAATATAACCACAAGTGAAACACAGCGATAACACCCTTCTCCGTGGATATGTAGCAGGCCATTTTTATATTAAGCAATGTTATGCAACGATATTTACATACAGTGATCTTGAGACAAATTGTCGAGGTCATTTACCTACAACCTATCTCCCTTCTTTGTCCTCAATCAGGCAATCCTTACAACTTTTCTCCACCGTCCGTTTTATCCATTACATCGTACCCAGACTGATACGCTCACTATGCCCAGTGACATTTGTGAATGGAGTGCACACAATGAGTAATAAATGTCATACTATTGATCCTATTGATCATAAATAAAGGTCTCATAGTAGTAGTGTCTTTCTCCAATCAAGTGCTTGCGTACATCGTCGGTGCGGACCTAACACATTTGGGAGTTCAAAATTGAGACTAGTTATCTGCCCTTATTGTGTACGTTCGTCAGATCGCAAAGATTCTCGATCTTATGGTTTGCAACTTACTATGTAATGCAGTGATCTTGTAAATTGGTATTGAGCTAAATTGTACTATAATCATGCCAAGAGTGTGATTCAGATATGCTGCTGAAACGCGTGTTTCCCTGACAGTATGCTAATCAGCACTGATTAAACTCGACTTACTAATCTGATGCAGTTCGATTCCATGCGAATAGATATGCCTCAATTACATGTATGCAACTGGACTATCTCAGCCAACTGCGAACACTTTATTACACTCTAATAGTCCAATTTGATGCGTTCATATAACTTTATGTTACTCAGAAAATAACTAAACGAAATTCTGGAATCTTACGCTTCCATATTACTTCTGTGAATCTGTGTGTCTGGTCTTTGCGTTGCCGCCATCCATGTTTTACTCGCTCTCCCTTTGGTATAACATGTTTTGTCTTTAGGTAAATGTTTCACTCGACTGAACTAACGGTTATTCACATTCCCAGATTTGAGATTTATAAAACGAAATATTTGGATTTTACCCAATACCTAAATAAATTCGGCGCTTGCAAGAACTCGGATTTGTGTGATGCAAGGATATGCTAATAATACATAGATTTCTCTGCTATCTCTCATTGAATGATGATCTGATCTCAAGTTCTGCAGCTAAACCTTTTCTCCGACATTTAAAACCGCTTTAGTCGTCTGTTTGTTTTCGTTCTCAGAACTGAACGTTCTTTTGAAATGTTCACAGATTGTGTGAAACGACCAGAGTATAATCCGTTTCCATTATTTTTAAGCAAGTGCGTCACACACACACGAACGCACAAACGTGTTTCCAATTCGACCTGTCGATACTCTGGAATTGATCACGTGAACTTCAAGTACAAACCAATGGTGTGCAGATTTGACGTACAACCATACCACACGGGCACACAGTTAACCATTGATCTAGCACATTTATGATGCTTTGTCAACTGTATTCATTCTGTTACTCGTCTGAGCGTATTGTATCGTCAATAGGCCAGGCCAATTACTCAACTGTAAGTCAGACCAAACTGTCGGCAATCAATTTACGCGATATTTATTACCGTACAAGCACAACACCTGTATACGTAGTAGTCTTCGATATCCTAGCTCAGACTAAGTATGCTAAACTTATGATATTTCCTTTGTAACATCTCAATTTAATTACACAGTAACTTGTGTTACTTTCACTCGGTATGTGCCTTACAATTTGTTTCGTGACTTATAAGACAGTAAATGTAGAACTTTTGCTCGCATCGGATTTAACTTTCAGACTTTAGCTCAACGGTAATGACTATATTCTTTTCTGGTGAAATCCGTTTCAAGCTGATTATTATGAGAGACCATTTGTTTATCTTTTAATCATTTTATGACCGTTTTGTCCTATCACATTATCCTATAGAATGACCAAAAGATATTCAGCAGAGGAACTCTTGCAAATTTACAAACGTTTGGACAAAGATGGGAACGGCGTTGTGTCACGAACTGAATTGGAAAAGGGACTGGCTGCGGCGGGTGTGAACCCGAAAGCCATTGAGGTTTGTCGGATTTGTCTTTTCATGGTGAACGCGTACTGGCCTACCTGACACAGTTATTTTTGTTTGTCTACTCTCGGAATTATTCGCCTTGTCGTGTGAGGTATCCCCAGGAATACAATGATTCGTCTGGCTCAGTTCATTTGAATTTTCAATGTTTGACTTGTTTCTGTTGTAGCATTTGCACACATCGTAAAAAAATATAGTGAAGAAGTTCATTTTCTGTGATTTGTTAATGCGTCACAAACGAATTTATGTTGCCTTTGCTATAGACACCGTTCATACGCTGAGAAAAGTTATTTTAATTCTCATGATCGGATGTTGCTAAGATTGTGGTCGCCCTGAATTCGCCTGGCAGAGAAAGTCAAGGAAGCTGTATATCTGGTATGGTGAAAACCATTTACGATATGGAGTTCCCCAGGCTTAGTTTGAGGATCTTAGTGTGGAGAGGGTTATACGGTTTCGATCGGTCCCGCTGTTACCAAAAAACGCGCCTTTTAATCTTTGTAGGTCAACGACTGAAAAATAAACAATGAACTGGGGTGAACGAAACGCTCTGTCGGGTACACAATTGATGAACCATTGTTACCCGTGGTGCTAGTGAAATCGTTCACCTCAACCTCTCCTAATGTGACCAGTGTACGTTGGCCACGTTAAGCAGACACCCTTAATCTATTGTGTTTGATTTTAAACCTATGACAGATAACATGAGCGTTGTCCTTTCCTTTTACATTTATCTCTTCCAAATTCTGCAACGCACAGCGTGTCATGAACGATTTGGACTTGAATCGAGACGGCCAAATTGCCATTGGTGAATACAAGCTTGCTCTTGGTTTGACTGATGAACCTCTGGCTGAGTAAGTCACGGTTATTTTCAGAATATCTCATTAGTACTGTTGTTTCGTTTGGACCTAAAGTAATGCTCTATGAATGTCTTAACTCAATCCATAATGACACTTTCTGAGAATATTACAGCTTTGAAATATGATCCGTTATCTATTAACTAAAATTTCCTTTTTATACATATTTAAATTTGGACATTTCCAGCACTCTCAAAGGATTCGATTTAGCAAGCAGAGTCTGTTCTGTGCTGACTTTTGTCTTCGCGTTCATCAGTGAATATGTATATATATATATATATATATCTTCAATATGTAAATAAAAGAATGATTGTATCCAGTCGTAAACACCTGCAAACATGTTTAGGTATGTTTGCCAGCTTATCGTTATCACAAATTTTGCAAATCCTGTCTCTTATCGACGTATAATCTAGAAGGAAGAAATGAATGACGGAAGTAGTAGAGAGGTTGCAAAATGTTCGTCAGTGATGGATTGTTGTTTTTAGGAAGAGCAAAGTGCAACGTTGCGGGCAAAGTTCAGGGGTAATCACTTGAAGCAATCAATCATTAATCAGCTGATAGTAGGCGATGGTTAAGGGATGTGATTATGATGATAGAATTATTACTGGTTTTTTGTTACATACAGGTCATTGACCTCCTAGACAAACGTGGATCTAGAGAGTAATTTCGTCTATCGTAATATGCGGTACAGGAAAAATTAAATGCGTATATGTCTTTTGTACTACTCGTGGTCGGAATCCAACACCTCAAACCCGTGAGCTACGGTGAGTTCATGTATTTTTCGAAAGTCAGAAAAAAGATTGCATTACTTTGTGGAACTTTGTGTGCAAATGTGTCGAGATCCTTCAGCAGGAGAAACGAATTGCAGTACTCTTTCCATCGCTGACAAATTCCTTTATTACTCACTTTTTATAGTCTTACAAAAGTGCGTTTTACTTTTATAATTCTATTTGGCGTTCAATTTGTCTTTTCGTCAGATGGAAACAACTTTTCTTCAGCATAGATAAAGATGGTTCTGGAACTATTACAAAGGAGGAGCTTAAAATGATGTTTGACGAAATGGGCATGCCAATCAATCTGTCCGTTCTTGAAGCCTGGATTGAAGATCACGATGTGAACGGGGATGGACGTCTCAATTTCGAAGAGTATCTTGGATTTGTCAGCGAACAGCTTTCATGAAGGGTGACGTGGGTTTTGTACAGATAAACAGGTGACTACAATGTGATATCACATTGCACATTAAATGTGAAGTTGAACTCGTTCCTTCCACAATTATCGTACCTTGAGTTCACCACTGATGCTTCATTGCAATAAATGCGAGCTATTGAAATTTATTCATCTTTCTTATCATTAGAAATCAGATTGTGAATCAAGATCGAGAAGATTAAAAATATATTGATTGCCTTCATGAATAGAAACACTCAATGTAAATACTGTTTTAAACTTTTTGAAGACAAGATCAAGTCAAATAGAACAAAGTCTTTTGTTTTCGGAAATTCCATCTCGATCTTACGGCAGACCAAAGTTAATAATAGCGTCTATGCACCCAACAAGTTGAATTGTTGAAGGTTTCCACGAGGTATGGTAGACACCACTGCACACAATATGAATAGGTATAGATGAAACAATATAAAGGAAAATAACCCTCTCACATCAGTTGATTTATCCAGGGCGCAATGAGGAATGTCCAATTCGCTTTGATGTACGCAAGACGATAGACGGTGTTATTTCTTGGAGTGGTATTATGTACATGGAGAATCCTAAATTTAGAACCAGCATTGCGATGAAACAAACGGGTTATGAAGAGTATGAAGGCATTCTATAGTTGATAAATCGTACGTGGTCATCAAAACGCTTTCACCAAACCAGAACGTCAGTCGGGGTAGTTCCATTAGCGTGAGAAAGAAATCTGACAAGATAGGTTAGAAATTGTCAGTCTGGTTACCCGAAAAGTATCTCTAGCTTTGGTGGAAGGTTCACTTGTGGTTGGTTAAGTTGAAGCAAATTTTCATTCCATGGTATTGTATAGGCAAACGTAAAATAAATCAATTCCTTCCATCTGTTTAGGATTTGCTTGAGCCTTTTTCAGATCCATGAACAAATAACAGAGTAAACGCGTGGCCATACTGGGCAGTTTTGTGAACAGCGTGTAGTGTATAGTAGTAGTATAGTAGACTGATAAGTGAAAAATTTTACTACAAATAAATTCCAAAGTTTACTTACTCTAGATAGGTTGAATAGAATTCCAGATCCGCTAACTTAAAGTCGTGGAAGAGTAGTAAATACTCAACAAACATGAATGTTACATGTCCTTTGTTATCT